GAAAGAGCTTGGATGTGTGCCTTCCTCTTGTATTTTTTGGAATAGTCTGAGGAGGATAGGTTTTAGTTCTGCTTTGACTACTTGGTAAAACTCCCCTGTGAAGTCGTTCAAACCAGGGCTTTTGTTTGCTGGAAGTTTTTTTTTTATTACTGCTTCAATTTCCTTGGTAGTTATCGGCCTATTCAGGTTTTTTTTATTCTTCATGATTGAGTTTTGGAAGATTGTATTTTCCTAGAAATATGTACATTTTGTCTAGGTTGTCCAGTTTATTGGAGTACAGTTGTTCATAGTATTTTTTTTACAATCCTTTGTATGTCTATGGGGTTGATTGTTACTTCACCTCTTTCATTTCTGATTTTGTTTATTTGGGTCCTCTCTCTTTGTTTCTTGGTGAGCCTGGCTAAAGGTTCATCACTCTTGTCTATCCTTTCAAAGAACCAACTCTTGGTTCTATTGATCTTTTGTATTGCTTTTATTTTGTTGTTTTGTTTTGTGTTTTTGTTGTTGTTATTGTTGTTTTGATCTTTATGTTGTTTATTTCCACTCTGATCTTTATTATTTCCTTCCATCTGCTTTCTCTGGGCTTTTCTTGTTGCTCTCTTTATAATTCTTTAAGTTGTAGGGTTAGATAATTTATTGCCAGTTTTTCTTGTTTTTTGAGATAGGCCTTTTCCACTGATTTTTAGAGAGAGGGAGGAAGGAAGAGGGAAAGAGAGCGAGAGAGAGAGACTGCCCCCACTAGGACTGGGGATTGAACCTGCAACCCACATAGATGCTGTTAACCAGGAATCAAACCCAAGACCCTTTGATGCACAGGCTGGTGCTCTAACTACTGAGACACACTGGCCAGGGCTAAATATTAACTTTTTTAATTTTTATAGCAATTCTATGAGATAATTAACATTATTACCTCCAGGGAACTGAGGTTAAGTAATTTACCCAAGGTCATACATCTGGTAAGTGATGGAGCCAGAATTCAAATTTAGGCTCCAGGTTCAGGGTTAGGGTAAAGAAAGCAATGTGAGCAATGCAAGTGCAAGGTCAGATCCATTCTTTAAACATTTGGGGTCAAGGTGGTCAAAAGGTACAAACTTCCAGCTGTAAATTAAATAGATCATGGGAGGTAATGCACAGCACAGTGACTATAGTTGATAACACTATATTGTATATTTAAAAGTTACTAAGAGAGTAGATCTTAAATGTTCTCATCACAAGAAAAAAAATCAGTTAAAAAAAAAAAAAAAAGAAACCCCGTAAAAACCATTTTGATATTTTGCTCATTCTGCACATTTTTGGGCAATAATTTATCGACTTTTTAAAATATTACACTAGCCTTAGCTGGTTTTGCTCAGTGGATAGAGCTTGGCCTGTGGACCAAAGGATCCTGAGTTTGATTCCATTCAGGAGCAGGTACTTTGGTTGCAGGCTCCTCCCTGGCTTGGTCCCTGGTCAGGGCTCCTGCAGGTGGCAACCAATCAATGTTTCTCTCTGCCTTTTCCTCTCTTTCACTTTCCCTAAAAATCAATGGAAAAATATCCTTGGGTGAGGATAAATAATAAATAAAAATATTACACTAGAATATTATTTTACTTGATTACTGAGTTTTGGGGTGCCCCCTTGCTTTTGCACCTGAGTGTCACTCACCTCACCCTGCTAGGTTGGCTGGCTTTAGAATTTAATCTTTTGGCCTCTGAGTCATACAAGCCCTTACCCTGGAAAAATGGGGAAAATCCAAATTCTTCCAGTCCTAGAGAGGAGATAGAGATGAGGTAGGGGAAATTGGTGCTAAAACGGGGTGTTCAGATGCCCCCTCTCCTGGCTGAAATCCAAGAAGTGGGAGGCATGATATTAGTTAAGGGAGAGGGGCTGTAGCTAAGGGGCCTTTGTCTCCTTCCGGTTGAGAACCCTGCAAAAGAGAATACCAAGGGGCATAGCTCTCTGGCCAGTGGGAATATTCACAGCAAAGGAGGCATGAAGGAGTGCCAAGTTGGCACCTCCAAGCTATTCTCACTTCTCAGGAGTGTGGGTGGGTGGGTGTGAATGGTTCTGAGTGGCCCTTGGGCAGAGCGAAAGGCAGCCAAAAATAAGCCCTGTGGGCTTGAGGCTTCCCTCCGGAGGAAAGTGATCTCACTTCCTGTGTTCAGATAGCTTCCCAGGGATTCTCCCTTCAGTTCCCTCCCCTGCACTGTCCCCGGACATCTCTGACTTCTCAGAAGTAGTGAAGGGACAGTGAAGGGATGTCGTTGACCAGGGAGAGAAAAGGTCACTTCATCCCTTCTCTGCAGCCTCTTGAATAGAGGGCTCGGCCAGTTCTGCTTTCAGAACCTCCACCCTTCACAGAACTACACGGTGTAGAGAATTATCGATCGATGGAGCAGCCCAGGGGCATCGACCCTATCATACAAAACTGGGAAAACCCAGGCTGTGGTTCTTGTCAAATGTGTCATAAAAGGAGACACCTGCTAGGTGTTTGGCCAGAGCTTTCATCTTGACTAACAAATGATTCGGGGGTTTTTCCCCCGTCTTTATTACTACAAATTACACCCTATTGAATGTTTATGTTGTGACATCTGTGTTTGTGACAACATGCAAGTGCACTGATAAAATAAACTTAAAGTAAAATTGCTGGGTGGAAGGTTATATATATTTTGGTATCTTGATTGATTTCCCCAAACTGTGCCTCCAAATGGATCCATTTCAAATCTCAGCCTCGAATTCTCTTTTCAATTCTCTGAATAAGAATGAGACTGTGTTCCAATGCATTTGCATTGCTTTTTGTAACCTGGCTGCCCATATTTGTTTTGTTTTTCTAAGGGATATTAACCACTTCTTCGTGGCTTAATTTCTAAGTTATGTTCTGGTAAATCTTAAGGAAATCAGTCTTGGCTGATCGTGGCTCTATTTTTAGCTTCTGTTGGCAGAGGCAATCCTTGGCATTCCTTGACTTGTAGATGCATCTCTCCAATCTCTGCCTCGATGTCAGATGGCCATCTGCCTCTGTCTCAGTGTATCCTCTCCTTTTCCTATAAAGACACCAATCATTGGATTTAGGACCCACCCTAATGCATTATGACCTCATCTTGGCCTAATTACACCTGCAAAGACCGCACTGCCCAATGAAATCACACACCAAGGTTCTGGAAAGACACAAATTGGAAGAGGCAGACACTATTCTACACACTACAGCCATCAAAAACAGGTTGACTTTCCCTGGCCAGTGTTTCTCAGGGTTAGAATGTTGACCCACACACCAAAGGTTCAATTCCTGGTCAAGGGCATGTGCCTGGGTTGCAGGTTCCATCTGCCTGCAGTGCATTTGGGAAGCAATAATGTGTCTCACATCAATGTTTCTCTCTCTCTCTCTCTCTCTCTCTCTCTCTCTCTCTCTCTCACACACACACACACACACACACACACACACACTCACACTCTGCCTCTTTCCCTCCCTCTTTCCCTCCCTCCTTTCCACTCTATAAAAATTAATAGAAAAAAAATCCTTGATGCCCAGCCGGTGTGGCTCAGTGATTGAGCATCAACCTATGAACCAGGAGGTCACAGTTCGATTCCCGGTCAGGGCATATGATTCCTAGTAGGGGGCGTGTAGGAGGCAGCCAATCAGTGATTCTCTCTCATCATTGATGTTTCTATCTCTCTCTCCCTCTCCCTTCCTCTCTGAAATCAATTTAAAAAAAAAATTTAATATATCCTCGGGTGAGGATTAACAACAAAAACAGGTGGACTCACCCTGACCAGTTTGGCTCAGTGGATAGAGCATTGGCCTGCGGACTGAAAGGTCCCAGGTTCGATTCCGGTCAAGGGCATGTACCTTGGTTGCGGGGACATCCCCAGTGGGCGGTGTGCAGGAGGCAGCTGATCGATGTTTCTCTCTCATCAATGTTTCTAACTCTCTATCCCTCTCCCTTCCTCTCTGTAAAAAATCAATAAAAAAAAATATATTTTAAAAACAAAAAAAAAACAAACAGGTGGACTCCAAGGACCAAGGGGAAGAGAGAACTGAAGGGCAATGTGGGGTGTTTATAAGACAGGAAGGGACAATTCATCTCCTTCTACTCCAGTGGTTCTCAACCTGTGGGTCGCGACCCCTTTGGCGGTCGAACGACCCTTTCACAGGGGTCGCCTAAGACCATCCTGCATATCAGATATTTACATTACTATTCATAACAGTAGCAACATTACAGTTATGAAGTAGCAACGAATATATTTTATGGTTGGGTCACAACATGAGGAACTGTATTTAAAGGGCCAGAAGGTTGAGAACCACTGTCCTATGGGTTCCTATTG